ACTCGTTTCCACGAAGGTGCGGAAAATAATGGAAGTATTCAATCGGCCTGGCGAGGATGTAAAAGGAAAGGCCCCAGGAGGGCAGGTGCAAGCTGCCCTGGAGGAGCCGATCGAAACCATTGAGAAGACACGCTTGACCACATGAGTGCAAAGAGAACGAGAGCAAGAGGAGGACGGGGCGAAGAAAGGGAGAGGAGGGGAGAGACGCGAGAGCAAAGAGCAGGTCCCCTTGGCGAGTCGGCCGCTGGCGGGCGGCGTCTGCGGGCCTCCCGCTCCTTGCGCTTTCCTGCTTGGGGGGGAAGCGGGAGGGCGCGGCTCTGCGTCCCGCCCGCGGGGTTCGCAACGACGACGACGACGCCGGCGGCGGCGACGGCGGGGTTCGAGGATTCAGGTTATGGGTTCGAGGTTCCTGGACGATGGTTTGGGACACCCAAAGGGGGGTCCCCAGCTGAAAGGGGGTGGTGGAATAGATTTGGGGCAATTCTATTGCACATGTATTGCGCCAGAGAATTGTATTGGATTGTATTGCAAGTGCTGTATTGCACGCGAAAATCCAGCAATACATTTGCGCCCAGGCATGTATTGCACGCCCCAAATGTATTGCAACCCCACAAGTCTATTGCACCAAATTTATTGCACCACACCCTTGTCGCTGGTCCCCCTTTTGGGTCAACCCGAGATGGGGAGGAGGGGCGGGGAGGTGGGGGAGGATGATGCGGGGGGAGGAGGAGAGAGGAGGATGAGGCCTCACGAGGCCCATGTCGAATTGGTGGCACTTGTATTCCAATAGCTGCAGCCGTGCCCACTGTGCTGACACCACCGCTGCCGATGCCAGCGGCCGACGGCACCGTCTCGGCCGACGTGGCGCCGGCTGTCTGGATCGAGGCTCTTCGAGATGCTCTGCTTGAGCGGGTGGCCGACCTACGTGGTGCCGGGCTACCTGCCCAATCTGCCTTCCTTCTCGTGCGGATGGCTACCACTGGTGACATCAACTACGTCGCGCAGAGCATGCCCATCTCAGATCTGATTTCACGGAATCTGGATAAGGCGCTCTTGGCTGGTGTCCACAACCTTTTCTGTATCGATTGGGCGGGGGATCTGGGCGCGGAGCATCGCTGCTGGTTCCTCTCCTGGCGGGATGGTGGCCTGGGGCTCCACAGCGCATACCACTCTGCGGATGCGCTCTACCTGGCTTCGTTGGGTCCTGTGTTGGCCCTCGCTGCTTACAGGCATGGCCTGCCATCCTCCCGCGAGGTGGTGACACGCTTGCCCTCCCTCGCGTCGACGGCCACCTCGGTGGTGCGCTCCGTGCGTGGTGAGGGTGTCCTGGGCCTCGCGGACCTCGCAGCCTTCCTCGACCATGCCGACCCGAAGCCAGCACGGCAGTGGCGACTCGCAGCTTGCGCGCGCAGCTGTACTCTTTTCGAATGCGGCGCGAAGAGAGTCCGCCTCTGCCTGCATGGAGAGCGGGGGCCCAGGGGCGAGCGATTGGCTTCTGCTTCCACGGGGGCCTCAGAAATCCATTGCCGCCCAAGCGTTCGTGACGTGCGTCCGCTTCCGGATGAACTTCCTGGTGTTCCAATTTATTGGTCCGTGTCTCCGCCGCTCCAAGCTCCGGCAAGACTGCCCGAGCGCGCAATGCGGCTGCGTGGGCGACCTGCGCGGTCACCACCCCGTCCTCTGCGTCGTGGGAGGCGCCGTGAATGACCGCCACAACGCCCTGCGTGACCTGTTCGTGCATACCATCGCGGACATCAAAACAGTGCCCAGCCATCGTGGAGCAGCACGACTACACGTTGCCCGACGATCGTCGGCCCAATTTGCAGTTCCAGAACCACTGGGGGATCGTCGTTCCCGTCAGGACCATCCAAATCACCGCCATCATGTAACCCGCGAGCACGAAATTGAGGACGTTTCACAACGACCCATATGTAGGGCTCACTAGTTGGCGAAGAGTGTTCGTGGTCAACGACGACGGCGTTTTGCAGCGATTTTTGAGCATCATCTGAACGGTTATACTCGCGAAACTGTTGAGCATGTTGGCATCTTACTTGGGGCGGAGGACGAGATGGAACGCAACGCGGTCGCAGTGCGAGTTGAAACGGGCTCGACATTGGCCCCTTCGTGCCAGTTGGTCGGAGAACCACCGCAGCCGAGCCGCGCACACCATCCCAGCGAGGCGCAGCGGAGGGGGCACGGGCACCCCGAGGTCCTTGACTCGTCGCAGCCCCGTCGCCGCCTCGTCGCCGCCCGTCGTCTGGGCCTGGTTGTCGGTCTGGCGGCTTCGTGCTCGCCGTCGCCGACCCGTCGCCGCCAATCGCCTAGGCCTGGATGTCGGTCTGGAGGCTCCGTGCTTGCCGTCGCCGCCCCGTCGCCGCCCGTAGTCTGCTGTCGTCTGGGCTTGGGTGCCGGTCTGGCGGCTCCGTGCTCGGCATCGCCGGCCCAGATTGCACAACGTAGATTCTGTTTTCTAGAAAGATAATGGGCTCATCTCCCCCCGGCGTTCGCCGCCCCCCTTTCGGGTATGTAAATGATATAAAATTCTGACCACATGTCCATCCTAAATATGAATTTGCACTATCCCCGGGGAACCGGTATCGCTCCCCCTGAGGTTCCCTTATAAAAAAAACGATACGCGGGGACATCTTTTGTTCTAACATTACACTTTTTCATGAATCTCTTGCAACACATGGGACGAAGTGCGCACGAGCGCGTCGTCGCGCGCGCATGCCGAAATCCTTCAAAAGCCTTCGGTGTCGGAAGGATTTCGCAATCGAGTTTCCAAAAAAACATACAAAAACAAAGGGCGTCGCAACGCTGATTTGCTAAAAAAGCTTACGCACGAGCTCTTGCGAAATCGTAAGAAACCCATGGGTTTTTCAAGATTTCCACAAAATGCTACCAAACGGGCTTCGCGCGCGAGCATGTCGAAATCTGTCGAACGTCCTTGCGCGTGTACCGTCGCGAGAGTCCTCTGCAACAAATGAGACGAAGTGCAGACGCGCGCGTCGTCGCGCGCGTACGCCGAAATCCTTCAAAACCCATCGGTTTCGGAAGGATTTCAACATCGTTTCCAAAAAACCTACAAAAACACAAGGTTTCGCAACACGGATTGTCAACAAAAGCGTGCGCGCGCTCTCTTGCGTCGTCGTCGTCGTCGTCGCCGTCCCCCCTCCTCCCGCGTCGTCGTCGTCGCGCCTACGTCGTCCTCTGTCTTTCCTCGTGTTCGTCGTCGTCGTCGCCGTGGTCGTCCTTCCTCCTCCTCCCTCGTCGTCGTCGTCGTCCGTCGTCGGCGCTCGTCGTCGTCCCTCCTATTTCGTCGCCGTCGTCGTCGTCGTCGTCGTCGTCGTCGTCGTCGTCGTCTTCCCTCCTCCCTCGTCGTTGTCGTCGTCGGCGTCGCCGTCCTTCCTCCTGCTTCGTCGTTCGCGTCGTCGCCGTCCTCCCTCCTCCCTCGTCGTTGTCGTCGTTGTCGTCGTTGTCGCCGTCGTCGTCCTCCCTCCTTCCTCGTCGTCATCTTCGTTGGCGACGTCGTCGTCGTCTTCGTCTTCGTCGTCGTCGTCAGTGTCGTCGTTGTCGTCGTCGGCGTCGTCATCGTCGTCGTCGTTGTTATCGTCGTCGTCGTCGTCGGCGTCGTCGTCGTCGTCGGTGTCGTCGTCGTCGTCGTCGTCGTCGTTGTCGTCGCCGTCCCCCCTCCTCCCGCGTCGTCGTCGTCGTCGCCTACGTCGTCCTCTGTCTTTCCTCGTGTTCGTCGTCGTCGTCGCCGTGGTCGTCCTTCCTCCTCCTCCCTCGTCGTCGTCGTCGTCCGTCGTCGGCGCTCGTCGTCGTCCCTCCTATTTCGTCGCCGTCGTCGTCGTCGTCGTCGTCGTTGTCGTCGTCGTCTTCCCTCCTCCCTCGTCGTTGTCGTCGTCGGCGTCGCCGTCCTTCCTCCTGCTTCGTCGTTCGCGTCGTCGCCGTCCTCCCTCCTCCCTCGTCGTTGTCGTCGTTGTCGTCGTTGTCGCCGTCGTCGTCCTCCCTCCTTCCTCGTCGTCATCTTCGTTGGCGACGTCGTCGTCGTCTTCGTCTTCGTCGTCGTCGTCAGTGTCGTCGTTGTCGTCGTCGGCGTCGTCATCGTCGTCGTCGTTGTTATCGTCGTCGTCGTCGTCGGCGTCGTCGTCGTCGTCGGTGTCGTCGTCGTCGTCGTCGTCGTCGTCGTCGTTGTCGGCGTCGTCGAAGTCGTTGGAGACGTCGTCGGTGTCGTCGTGGTCATTGTCGGCGGCGTCGTCGTCGTCGTTGTCGCTGTCGTCGTCGGCGTCGCTGTCGTTGCCAAGTGCGATTTGGTACCCACCGTCACGGTCTTAAGAGATTTTGCAAACCAAGTTGCGGGTGGGTGGGTGTTTTTTGTTTGCAAGAGCGCGGGATGTGTCGACTCGTTCATTAAAATCAATTGCGCCACATAGGTTGCACCGCATATATTGCACCAGGTAGATTGCACACGTAGGTTGCGCCACGTAAGATGCACCACGCGGATGGCACCGCGTCGATTGCACCAGATATATTGCGCACCGTATTGATTGCACAACGTCGATTGCGCCATACATATACGCAATCATACATGCATGCATACATGCAAACATACACGTACATCCATACACACCTATCTATTTATATAAACGTGTACACACGTATTAGCACACTAGAAACGTTACTGAAGGTACGCCGAAGGTACGATGGAGGTACGCGTATCCAAAACAGCGAAGGTACACTGAAGGTGCGCCGAAGGCAAACAGGAGCGGAGGGGGCAAGGACAGACCCCCCATTACCCCCGCTCCCCCAGACCATCGCTCAGCCTCGGTCTGGACGTTCATGCTGTTCGCCTCCATCGACCCCAGCTCTTGGGTGGCCCTCTGGCGGGCGGCTGTCTGCGCCTCGGCGGCCACCCAAATCGCGGACCCGGCCTCTTCTGCCACGTTCATCTCGAGATCCCGAACGAGCCTCCCGTTGGCGACAGACGGCTTCGCCATGCTGGCCAATTCCCTCAGCTCGGCAGCTGCCTTCAACGACTGTTCAGAGGCTATGGCTTGCTGTCTGTTTCCATGTCACGGAGCACTCGTGCCATCTCGGCGCAGTCTGCCTCGTCGTGCAGGCGTGCGGCAGCTCGCTGTTGAAGCGTTGTCTGGGCGAGACGTTGCTGAGTCTGCGCCAGCTCGCTGTCTCTCTCGTCGATGGCCGCCTCGCGCCTCTGTTCCTTTGACTCTTCCCATTCCTGTCCGCGCAATGCCGTGCAGTTGCGAGCAGATGGCGGGAGACAGTCTGGGCAGAAGAACATACATTGCTGTGCTGGCAACTCGAGAAACATCCGCGACAGACGGACTTCAAGCATCGTCCGCGATCTCCCGGGCAACGGCTCTCTGGGAAGTGAGCGCAACTCGGCCCAAAAATGGCGCGCGGCTCCTGAATCCTCATGCTCGATGCGTTGGATCTGGCAATGCTGGCAAAAGACTGGGATCGGCCCGATGGGGTCCTGTTGGCACGAGCCTTTCCGTGCGAACGAATTCGCGGGGCGGGCCGTCGCATGGCGCTCCAGACAAGCCCCTCGCGGCGGTCATGTGCATTCGAGAGGGTCGAGGGGCCCGGCGACTCGGGAACGTAGTTCCCCTCGCCACCCCTGTCTTGGACCGCTTTCCGCTTGGAGACGTCATTGACAGTCCTAGCGGTGACCGAGGCTTCTTGGATGCTGGTCCTCTCGCGTCATCTGATAGCAGCATTTGCGGCGCAACATCTTCGGGAAGGGGCTGGATCCTCTTCCTCGATGTCCGATGCCTCGCCTCGTCCGCTGGCCGTGTCGATGGGCGCATCGATACAAGAGTTCCCGGCAACATAGTTGCCCTCAACCGTCTGTCTGCCGATCACTGCATCCATGCTCCCAGCCCTTGGCGTCGGCTGAACATCATAGATGCTCGGGCCGTTGGGATTTGTAGGCAATGGTTTATTATGGTCTTGTTGTTGGTCGTGTACTGAAATGCTATCCAATTCTGGTCCCATATATTGTACCTCGGAGATGTAGACCTTTTAGTGGACATTGCTAATACGTATGGTCAACGAATCTACTGTAATACGTTCGTGTGTGTGTGTGTGTGTGCCGGCCGGCCGACCGAAAGGAGGGAGGGCGGGCGCGCGTGCGCGCGATCATTTCTCCGATGAAAATGTTAGTCTGCGTTGACATCGTGTATTATGGCGGCGCCATTCCTCTCCATGGCTTGTGCACGGCGACGGTGACATCCCACCAGCCCTCCAGGCTCAGCGGTCTAACGGAGCTCCCCGTCACAACCCCTCCTTCCCATGTTCGGGGGAGGGGGTTGGCCCCGCCACCTGCCCCATCCCCCGGGGCCTGGGCGGGGCGCCCCGCGAGGGGTTGGAGGGTCCAAGATGGCCCAAGATGGCCCCACGCGGGCCTCGGGGGTCCCAGCTGGCCGCCCATGTGCCTCAATCTACGTCGACATGATTTGATACAGCCTCCGACACGCATCCAAGAGCCCTCAACACGGCCCCCAAAACAGTTTCGAATGCCCCCTGGGCCCTCCAAGGGCCACCCCCCAAGAGGCCCGAATTCTTTCAACAACCTTGGGAACATATCTGTTTTTGTTGCCTTCTCGCTTTTCCCTTCCGATGAGCCCTGGAGACCCCAACATGGCCCCCAAACTGCCCAACTGAACCCCACGAGGGGCCCAATATAGTCCCAAGACGGCCTCAATAAGAAACGCCCAAGAACGGCCCAAGAGCCCTAAGGAACTTCCGATGGGCGGGCCTTAACTGATTCCCCCTCTTCTTTGATCGATCTCCTCCAAGATGACCCCAAGAGGGCCTAAAGGGGCGCCCAGCATCACCAGGGAGGCGCCCAGCATCACCACGGAGGCCCCCACCAATGAGGCTCCAAGAGGCTCCTCCGAGGCATCGAACACGCTCCAAGAGGCCTCAAGGGCCACCAGCACCTCTCCTCCTCCTCCTGCTCCTGCTTCTCTCTCGTTCGGGGCAACCTGTTTCTTTATTTCATCAGATTTTTTCTCCAAATAAGCTTGCCCTATAGGAGTCCTAGCTCTTCATTCGTAATTTGTCTTTAGGACCCCCCCCCATTTTTTTTAAGGAAACCACCCCTTTTTCCAATGGCACCTCCCTATTTCCAATGGCACTCGCTTGCTTGCTCTTGCGTGCTTGCTCTCGCTTGCTTGCTATTGCTCGCTTGCGCTTGCTTGCTTGCGCTTGCTTGGTTTTGCTCCTCCCGTTCTCCTCCCGTCCTCCTTTCGTGTTCCTCCCATCCTCCTCTCGTCCTCCTCCTGTCCTCCTATCTATTTGGAGTCAACGCTGGCTGATATTCTTCTAAACCCGTTCAGAAAAGCATTGGCAACGAATGACACATCCAAGGCCGCATGCAACTTTCTTCTCCCCCTCGCTCTCCTCTTCCTCTTCCTCCTCCTCCTCCTCCTCCTCCTTTTTCTTCTCCCATTCGGGACAATCTGACCTGTTGACTTCCGGAAAGTCAGTAGCAACATGGTGATGCAGGAGCCCCTTCCTGATTACATAACCGTGGCAGATCAATACAACAAGACCCCCATAAAGCCAAAACGGCGCCAATTCGACCTGTTCAACCTGCACTTTGATGACTCATACAACAAATGCTCCCGCCCTCCGCGCACCCCCGAAAAAAAAAGGCATTCAAGGCGGCTGTCGCACTGTATGCTTCTACGCTGCCCTCATCAAGGCAACTCACCTGGCGATCGTGTCTGGATGGGCTGGTGTGGATACTTTTTGGTACGCGGGCGCGCGAAGAGGGTCGAACGCCGTGCAAGCAGGGGCAGGCTGTGCCACCAGCTCAGGGAAGGCCAGAGCAGCGAGCAACGCCATGCACAGAGCGAAACGGAACTGGTGGGGATATTTTTTTGGTCGGCGGCTCCGAGGCAAAGGTCAGGGAGCGGGAGCGGCGTCCGGGCTGCGGCACGATGCGAATTTGCGAACACAGCCGCCGCGTTGGCAAGCCAGTTCGCACCTGCACAGCAAGTGCGCAGTTGCACATGCACAAAACAAAATGAACTAAACTCACAAGCAAACGCACATAGACGCCGCAGAGTAAACCGAAGTGGACAAGCGGCAGAATGTGCGAATGCATACATATATATGTATATATGTATGTATGTATGTATGTATGTATGTATGTATGTATATATATATATATATATATATATACAGCCGCAAGGCGGCAGCGCCGGCGGCGAGCAGTCACGGTCGGGCTGCGGCCGCGACTAAATTCCCGGGCGCGCGCGGGGGCCGCGGATCAGGCGGCGGGGGGGGCGGCAACCCAGGGCGTCTGAGAGGCCAGGCGGTCGTGCAAGCCCAGGGGGCCTGAGGGGTCAGTCACCTGAGGCGGTCGTGCAAGCTGCAACCCAGGGAGTCTGAGGGGTCAGTCGCCCAGGAGCAAGCCAGGCGCGGCCAAAATGGCGCGCAGTGCGTTCCCAGTCGTGGTCGTGCCGAGACAACCGCGTGGTGGTGGGAACCGATCTCCGTGCGAGAAAGTCAATCCAAGGAGTCTGACGGGTATGAGCAGACCGTGACTGGAGACGTCGTCCAGCAAGGAAAGGGATTCTGACAGCGCCAGCGAACCGTCGCAGTTTCAGAAAACGCATCCGCGGCGGATAGGGTGAGCCTGAGGCCGAACTGGCAAAGGCGAACATACCACTGATGAAAGATGCGCCTGCGTTCAGAGGACCAGCGGACTGGTCTGGACGCAGCAGGGGTACACAAGTAACCACCCTGTGAGAACGCGAGGTCCCTCGAGAATGGACGTGCACCGAACAACTATGTGACAAAGCGCCAGGCGACCCACGCAGCCAAGTCGGGGAAGCGCTCGAAGGACAGCAACTGTCGTATACCCAAGACAGCAAGTCCCTCACGGTCACAGAGTCCCAGGGGGAATCGCACACCTGAATGCGCAGGAGAGCAACGAAGAAGGACCGAGTGCCCGTCATACTCCGAGACCGTGCAGCGCAGTCACCAGAATGGTTGCGCAAGGCAACGGTGGGCGGCGCTGATCAGGGTCACGTGATCGGCCCAGTCGGTGTAGGGCGCAGGCAGACCAGGTGGGCATTCCGCAAGCTCGGCGTGGCGACCCACGACGACGGACTGCCCCTACCCCCGATCTCGCGTTATTCTCAGCAGAAAAAGAGATAAGCACTGCTGAAGGCCGTAGTAACTTGAAGAGCCCAGGGAGTTGAGCGCAGGTCTGGGGACGGGGCGAAAACCGCCAGGTCGTCGGCCACAGGCTGCGCGCCAGGCGCGGCCTGTGGCCAGGGGCCAGGGGCCACTATGGCCACACGCAACACGGGATTGCAGTGTGGACGGTATTGCTGGCACACATACTTGGGTCCAAAGGCAGGAAGTGCGCGTACCAGGAGGGGCGGCAGGATGCCGCAAGCTGGGTCTGTAGTCCAAGGAGCGGCTGAAGGCCGCTGTCTGATCGGGAATCCCAGGGTTCAAGCACGTCTCGGGAGTGGGCCTCGGTCGGTCCCAAAGCAGCATAGCCGAGCACAGGACCATTCGGGCCACTGGTGAGAACCACTACAGCGGGGCCAGGGGCCAGCTAGGGTCTGCGCGCTACGCCCCCCCGCGCAGCGAAGCAGATGGTATTGCTGGTCGACGCACTTGGGTCCAAAGGCAGGAAGTGCGTGGGCCAGGGGAGGGGGCAGCGGGGCTGCCGCGCGGTTGAGAGAGAGGGTAAGGCAGCTGAAGGCCGCACATAGTGTGTAATGAGATTGTCATCTCGGGCTGTCTAGGTGCTGGATGTATGGGAAGTGAGCTCAATCTCCCCATCGGTGCCTCTTTTCGCCTCGCTCGTCAGGTCTGCCTCCACCACGCCTGCCTCCCGTCTGCCAGCGGTCGTCGCGCCAGCCGTCACTCCAGTCGCTCTGCCAGGTGCCCCAGGTGTCCCAGGAGCTTGCCGCACGGTCTCGCCAACTGCTCTGCTGGAGGTTGC